TTAACCCTCCCTCTTTGTATCTAGCAAGGAGACATGCACTGGGAATGCTGAAGGAATTTTTGGCTATTTCATCTGTTTAAGTATATTAGGGATAAAAAGGGATACCTACGAACACGGCGTCACTCACATGGCGGCATCACCTTACACATATCATGGCACTTTATCATGATTTGCGCTGATTTTAGAAAATCGGAAATTAAATTGAGATAGCAGTGTTTGGGGGCAGTTTGCCTGTGTGAAAACATCATTTCTATGTAGGCTGATGACGGGTGTAGGAGGGGCCTGTGTATGGGCAGTGGTGCTGTATGGGAGGTGGCGAAGCGTGACCCGGCGCGCACTCTTCCCACGGACGCCAACACTTTCTCCGTCACGTTGGACTCACGACGTCTGAAGTGGTCCTCTGTTGATCACTTCCCGCGTGGAGGCCGAGATGGTGGAAGGGGGTAGAGGTCGCCACCTTTGTCAATGTAGCTCATTCATCTCTCTGTCTGGATTTAACGCAGGCTCGTTTATTCACTCCAATTTCTGTAACTCTTCTCGTTTTCCTTTTCTTCTCCATGCACTATCCCTGATCTTTCAGTTACAGCATTGCTTCGTAAATCTTACGCCTCCTGACCTAAAGTCCTGACCCACAAAACGGCGCTGCCCGACGACCTGGCGATAATCAGACGTTATAAACCTCTGATAAGGAACGGAAAATGAGTCGAGGTTCCTTCCCAGTTGCTTAGCATCCCTCCCCTTACTTGCGATGCTGACCAAGAGGTAAAAAAATAAAATCACGTCGAATTGAAAACTTTTCTTGGAAAAGGTCGAGCCAAGTTTCGGAGGGACATGCCGCAGAGGCCGTGTGCGAGGCCGAAGCCGAAATCGCGCGCCTTCGCAGGCACGGAGGCCGGCGACAACGCGGGTTGACGCGCCTCAGCGGACTCTTTGAATGGGGTCGAGAGCAGCTCACACGCTGGGGGGGGGGGGGGATTTGAGATCTCGACCGCAGGGGGGACACCCCCGGAGTCGCACTTTACACTTTGGCAGCAGCGTCATCAAAATCTTTCCTCTAATATCTATCTATATATCTATCTGTCAATATATCAGTCTACCTATCTAGCTATCTACACACACACACACACACACACACACACACACACACACACACACACACACACACACACACACACACACACATATATATATATATATATATATATATATATATATATATATATATATATATATATATATATATATATATATATATATATATATATATATATATATATATATATATATATATATATATATATATATATATATATTAATATATATATATATATATATATATATATATATATATGTATGTATATATATATATATATATATATATATATATATATATATATATATATATATATATATATATAATATATATATATATATATATATATATATATATATATGTATGTGTGTGTGTGTGTAGATAGATAAACAAACAGACAGACAGATAGATAGACACACACGCACAGTGCATATAGCCCATGGGTCCCGTGCAGCTCCTTTATGCAGATATCCTTTCAGTTCTTCCAGTCCTCTCCTTCCTGCGCTGTCCCGCTCCGGGGGGTTAGCGGGTCAGACGGTGTCGTCCGTGCAGAGGGGCCGCGCCCTCTGACTCGTGCTGGTGACTTCACTCCCCAGCTCAGCAAAGTCTCATGCGGTCACGATGCACCAGCAATCGACCTCCACCGCCTTGGCCAGGTCGACGCCCAGCTGGCTTCCACCCGCGGCCTGGCGACGCTGTCAGTGCTGCGTTAACACTATTTTGATTTGTGTTCAGAAACAGTATCCCGCCGACGTGTCCTAGGATAACAATGTGCGAGTCAGTCTGCCCGCCAGCCAGGTCGGGGAGATACATTATGCAGCCGTTGCTGCTTCCCTCTTTGAAGCAGTGGCACTCAGCCGGAGAAAGGGCAGATATACACAATGTCAAGAAAGTGAAAAACATAGAAGGGGACGAATAATAGAAGGAAGGAAGGCCAAACGAAAGCGAGTGTTAAGCCATCCACGGCTGTTTGTCGAGGAGCGCGCCTTTCGTCACTCGAGCAGGTTGAATATCTTTCAGCCGCCGCCGCCTCGGTTCACATAATTGAAGGCCGGGGAACAGGCTGGCAGCCGCAGGGGCGAAATCCACAGGAGCGCAGACGGAGGCCAGTCACAACAGAGAAGGCCGTAGATTCCGTAGCGACAGGAAGGGCTCGGACGGTGACAGCGAGCGGACAGGAGGAGGACTGACGGCCACCGAGGGAGAGCCGCCACAGCGCCTCCAGCTGTACAAACACGCGGAGCCTAATCATGGCACTGACCTTAGGACCTTTCGTGTTGCGCCGCTTGCAATGTTTGCTTATATGTCAAGAGTAGCGATAATGGCGCAGGCGGTGTTCTCTTATTCACTCGTTAGGACGATGCCGTCTGCGTGTCTCACTCTGCATCGCCAAATTATTCTAAATAT